CCCTTCCCCCCCCCCCCGCCCCCCCACAACCCCCCACTGTGGCTGGCAGACTGACCCCTACTGCGATCAGCAATACACTGCCCGCATGTCTCATTTGCTTATTCTTGACAGTAATGGCTATTTAGGGTGGGGTGCAGTGGTGGTTGAACCGCTTGTGGGCAGCCCAAGCCTTTCAAAACGAAACAGCCAGTTAAGATGGAGCTGTGGAAATGGTCGGAGTCCCCGTCGGGAACAGATTGAGGCCCCAGGGAAACTGTGTGCCGCGACACTCCAGTTTCTCGAAAAAAAAAAGAGCCTTGGGCCCACTGGTGGTTTAGACCACCTGGCCCGGTGGCACAGCAGTGCGCACCAAGCTTCGCCGAACCGGGAGCAGTGCACTTTGTTTTTCTTTTTCGGAAGGCGCCACCAGCCTTAGTTGTCCGGTAGGTAGTCCCGAGCCTCCGAAATTTCTGGAAAAGGTGCTGAAGAAATTTTGCGAGGCTGGGGTCGTGTACTGGTGGTTAAAGAAGAATCGACAGAAGCCGCCGGAAAAAAAAAAAAAAACAAAAACAAAAAGTCTATGCTAATCTATAGGCAATCTGAAATAAAACCGCAGTGCCTTAGGCCGTCGACGGGTTTGGCCATTGACTAACCACTCGGACCGTTTGTTTGTCTATGTTGCAGTGGATGGAGGATTTTGAAGCATTCCAGGCCTCTGTCGAGAGTGATGCGTCGTACACATCCAATCTCAGCCGCAGTCTGGCATTGGTGCTGGATGAGTTCTATCAAAACCTCAGCAGTGTTGGGGTCTCCGCTGTGACCGGCCTAGGGATGGAGGACTTGTTTCAGGCTGTCGAGAAGGGGGCAGAGGACTACATGAGCAATTACAGGTACTCTCTTCTGGCTGTTATGTGTGTGATCCGACTAAGTGTGAAGTTGGTTGACCTTCTTGGTGTGAGATCGGTGACACTAGGAGAGAAAGTGTGGACTGTTGGTGTTGCAACATGCCATATTTGGAAAGGGGGTGTCACCAAAGGAGTCGTGGTTTATCTTCATGCCCACTCTGCTGTTGCTCCTTGGCCAAAAAACAACAACAAAAAAAAACTCGAAAAAGGAAGAGGGGCGTTGATGTGGGTGACCGGATGGGAGAAGGGAGGAGGGGGGGGTGGAGGGAATGCCGAGATGCTTTATAGGCAATGGTGGGGGGAAATCAGGAGTGTTGAGGGAGGAGGTTAAATGCTTTGCACGCGATTGGAGAGAGGGGGCACCAACGGTCGTAGCTTAGTTGCTACACCTGTGAGCTGAAGAGATACAGACCGCAGTTCGATTCCCCATCGACGCAGATAAGCAGAAGAACACTATGGGGACACCCCTCAGCAAGTGCAACAACCTTGATGCTCCATCCTCCTGTCTTCTCCCCAGATTGCCAGTCCTCTCCCCTGATGTAATCACTCTTATTATTAAGTAATATTAACAAATGAATAAAAAATGATATGAAATTATGAATGGATGGTCAGGATTCCTCGGAGTTGTGCTTCTTTGGAGTTCTTTCCCTATTTTTTCAAAAGGGCGAAGCTTAGGGAAATTTGCATATAGGTTTTCAAATTTCAAAGCTTCAGTCGTTAGTCGGATTCCATTCCGTCAGGGTTTGACGTTTGAACTCAGGTCTTTTCTTCAACAGTTACATGACTGGACTGGGTGTCAAAAAAAAAAGTAAAAAAAAAAAGGGAGTCTTGCTTGCACGAGAAGGGAAGTAATAATAAGATGGGGACAACAAAACACACACAAATATAAGGGTCTCGCCGCACGGCACCACGAAACGAAAACGGAACGAGTGCATCTGCCCACCTAAGGTGGCAAAATACACTCGTTACTATTTATAGCAAACCGACGAACCTGGCCATTTCCTGGGGGAAGATACATTCGTTTCGTTTTTCGTTTCGTGTGCCGTGCAGTGAGGCCCTAAGTAACACATACAGACAAATAACAGACACAAATAAATAAATTCAGATATGGACAAAGACAACGACCAGTACGGCCTGTCGTAGGCCAAATCACAGGCCTGGACAGCCACAGGACATCCAAAAGAGATCCAGGCCGCACATGCCTGGTGGGGAGCCCCCCAGAATGCCAACACTCTGTTTTCTTTTTTTTCTTTTTTTTTCTTTTTTTTCCTCCCCCCCTCCCGCCTCCGAAAACCCCGTTTCAGGCTGCTAGAGGGGGTGATATGCTATGAGCATATCCCCCCCTAGCTTGAATGCCAACACTATGTTAATCCTGTCATTATTTGGTTCAATGTCTGGTTCTGTGAAAGTCTGTTGTCTGTTGTGATGTGGGACTGTAACCTGACTAGCAGATCCAGTCAGGCTTTTCTGTAGCTTTTATTTCACTCATCTGGTCCCACTGGAATTCGAACTCACGTCTGCATTTCAACAGTTCATCGGTGTACTGAGCTAGGCCGATTGCTCCTTGCTTTTATGTCCATTGTGGTTATTGCCGGTTCTTCCTTTCAAGGCTCGGTCTCGGGCCTGAGTATCAGTCGCGCTGGTTGGGGGGTTTTCTGTCCAGGTTCTTCTTTGGCTCTGCAGGAGGGGTGGGGTCTCGGGTTCTCCCTGCGGGGTCTGGGGATCACGTGCCGTCAGATGTTTTATGGTGAAGGTTCTTGTTTTTGTTGTTTATTCATTTTGTCTCTTGCTGACGTCGCTGCGGTCAGCAAGGTTTGAGTCCTGGGTCTGCAGATGGGAATGGTATTTCCTCACCTGTTTTCATGTGCTGGCCTGTTTCTTTTGATTTTGCTGATCCATCGACTGTTGTTCTGCTTAAGCTTTTCTCCTCACTGTTGTTGGTACTTCTGTTCCTTTTCCTCTCTTCTGTCTTCCTTTCCTCTTTCTGCCCCTCCATTTTCTCCTGGTCTTTCTTCCCAATCTTCTCTTCATGCATGCTTTTGTGTGTGTGTGTGTGTGTGTGTGTGTGTGTGTGTGTGTGTGTGTGTGTGTGTGTGTGTGATGTTTTAAAAGACCTCAGATTCTCTCTCTCATTCCCTTCACAAATCAGCACAAGTCGTCCATAATGAAAAAGTATAGATAGGCAATATAATAGAAAATGCAAGGTTGGCCACATTCGTGTGGTTGAACGCCAAGTGCCCACACACCCGTCTGCCGTGTGTGTGTGTGTGTGTGTGTGTGTGTGTGTGTGTGTGTGTGTGTGAGAGAGAGAGAGAGAGAGAGAGAGAGAGAGAGAGAGAGAGAGAG